GCTGCTCAACACTGCTGCACTGCTGACCTTGTCTTTATTTAAAATGTTTAATGTTTCACTGGTTGTGACTTTTGGTGTAAATTTTGACTTTTTAGTGTAAAAATATTGCATTAATGAATTCAATCCCCAGCACTGAAAAATTGCTTTAATGAAAGCAAGAACTGAGACACGGTAAACATCACATTCTTAGCAGCATTCCTCACAATTGCCGACAGGTGAGAGGAAACCTTGTCCACCAGGGGATGAATGGAGGAGCAAAATGCAGCACAATGAAATATTATTCAGCCCTGAAAAGGGAGGAAATTCTGACACATGTGACAACATTCAAGGAACCCTAATTCATTACGCAAAGTGACTTAAGCTAGCCACAAAGGACACACGCAGTGTGATTCTACCTGCTATAGCTTGGCTTTGGAGGGTCTCTCCCATGTGTTGACAGCTTGGTGATGAGACTGGCACTTTTGGGAAGTTGTGGAACCTCTGGGAGGTGAGGTGATTGGCCCAGGAGGGGACATTGGGCCCCACCCCTTCCTTCCAGTCATGATGGACCCTGCCATCACAGGCCCAGAGCCACAAGGACAAGCAACCATGGCCTGAGACTGAGTCCTAATACAGCTTTCCTCCTCCTGGGTCAGTTTAGCTCAGGCACATGGAAAACTGACACACTCATTGAGCACTACGGTGGTCAGATTCATAGGGACAGAAGTGGAATGGTGACTTCCAGGAACTCAGGCAGCAGGGGATGGGACAGATGGAGACGTTTTGGCATATGAATGTAATGGTTGTACCACAATGTGAACAGGCCTGAGAAGGGTCTCCCCAAAGATTACAGGTAAACCAGAGACCCAGAAGCCAACCTCCAGCTCTAAGCTAGGAGCTTAGTCAGGGACGCTTGCCTGCCTGCTTATTCCCAAGGTACGACACTGCTGTCTTAGAGTGGAGCCTCACCCCAAAGGGAAGGGTCTGAGGGGACCTAGAAATCCAGGGCTCCAGCCTCTCTCCTCACTGTGAAGATGGGCTTCGAACCTGATCTTTCAGAAAAAGCCAGGACAAGGCTGTTGGGCAGGTGGGTCAGTAAAACAACGTCAGGTCCAATTTTTTTTTATCTCCGTAGCCATGATAGTGGCTGCTACTTGTTCCCTGTCGCTATCTTCCCTCCTCCTCCTCAGTGACAGATCCTAAAGATTTAGCTGGGCACTGGCTGCTTCTCTAAAGAATTTAGATCTATCTGCCGCCAAAACCTGGAAGCTGAAGTAGCATGTGTAGCTTTAGGAAAAGATGTCCATATAAAGAACACATTCCTCCTTTCTACTGGCTGGGAAGAGAGGTGTGATGGCTGGAGCACTGGCTACCATACAGGAAGAAGCAGTGTACTGTAATGGGGAGCACAAGATCGCAGGAGGCTGAGTTTTAGCATGGGCAGGGCCAGGCCTGCCCCAGACACACATCTGCACACTTTTTTGAGAGGTTGGGTCCCTGCCTGACACGAGGCAGGGACCCAACCTGGAACATACAATTGCCTGAACCTCCCTCTCCATGAGAACACAAGAAAAGGCTCACCCTCCCCACCATGTAACCTGGCACAAGCAGCAATGTGTCCAGTGCAGCGGGCCGAGATGCTGGACCTCACACCTGCCACTTCCGTGGTGAGCGATGACCTTGTCTCAAGCTATGCTGCTGCTGAGTGAACTTGGCCACTCTCTTGCCTCTCTCCCCTTAAGTTACTCTGGGAAATACAGATAAAGCTAAATGAAGCCCAGGGCATGAGTGCACATGATAAACAGTACGCTACGCGATGTGTTAGACCGGACGCTTGTGACCCCCAAGTCCTCACACTGAATTAAGATCCTGCCCTGCTCCAGGACTGGGAGGCAGGGCTTGTGGGCGGGGCTAGGCTTGGCACCCTGACAAGGAGAAATTGTGCTCCCTGCCTGATGGGGGCACAGTCAGATAACAACCACCTGCACCCGGGAGAAGGACACATCCAGTCCTGACCACTTGGGCACCCTGAGGTCAGGCTTGCAGCCTCCAGAACTGGGAAAAATAAATACTTGTAATTTCAGCCACCCAGTCTCCCATATTTTGGCTATAACATCTCAAACTGCCTGGCATGGTTGCACACACCTGTAATGCCAGTGCTAGAGAGGCCAACCCAGGAGGATCACAATTTCAAGGCCAACCTGGACTCTTAGAAAGACAATGTTTTAAAATAAATAAATAAAGCCTAACAAATGAAAACATAATTTGTATTATTTGTGAATGGGTGGCTGTTAAAACCAAGTGGTCCCCCAAATCACAAGAGTGTCTTGGCCCTGGTCCTTTCCTTTATTTCCAGTAATTCTGGCTGAGAAATCAGTGCTGTGGGCTCTCACAGGAGGGATGTGGCCAGCATGTCCCCTGTCAGGTGCTGAGTCTGCCCCACCCTGCACAGCCACATCACTGCCTCTCCCCAACCTGTCCCTCTCCTCCCCTATGGCCACCCCTCAGCTTCTGCACACCCTGCGTCCATCCCTTCTGCCAATTAGTCAGTCTCCTCTCAGGCTAAGTAGAAGTGAAAAGGTTCTGGGAAAGTTTCCAGAGTGGCCTCTTGAGCAGATATGGCAACAGATCCCAGTCCCAAGGACAGGAGAAGGAGGGGCTGGACGGAAAGAAGGGTGCAAGGACCGTGGCCCCTGTGGACAAGCAGATGCCAAAACAACCCCTCCAAAACTATGACCAAAGTCAAGCCTGTCTGTTTTCAATGCACTTCCTGTCTGCACTGTCCCAGTGAGGACATGCAAGCCAGAGACCTCCTGGGTTTGCCTAAAGTCACCCAGCAGCAAGAGGCGTGGCCATCAAGTTCATCCTCGGCTTCTGATTCCAGGACGCTGTAGAGCCACCTTTGATATTCCTCAGAATCTGGAGACTCCTGGAACATGACCCTCGGCAGTGAATGGGGAGGGACAGGAGGGACACCCAAGCTGAAGGCAGGCAAAGTGAGGGCTCCTTCCCACCCCCCTCCCAGACACCGCCAGGCTCTGTGGGGGCCCACGTCATACCCACAGCCCTGGTGTCTTCTGACACCAGCACCCCAATATTTCCCTGGGCACTATCCTTCCGCACAGGACGCATGGGCAGAGAGTGACCCTGTGGAGCAGCTTAGCCCGGCAGAGTGTGAGCAGAAGGGCACACAGATGGCGGAGCCCCAGGAAAGGAGGCACATAGCATGCAGCTCCCCCATATCTGCCCTGACGTCTTCTGCGCCTTCTGCACTGAGGGCCTCTCCAGGCCCTCCCCACAAACAGTGCTCTTGCTCGGGGTTCACCAGAGCTAGCTGTGGGAGCTGGCATGCAAGTGTCCTCCTGAGAATCTAGCTGGGAGGCATATTTCAAGGGTTCCAGGCCCAGTGTAATACAATACAAGCCAGGAGCAGTCACCCAGATCTGTCTGTCTGTCTGTCTGTCTGTCTCTTTCTCTCATTTTCTCTCTTCCTCCATCCCTCCCCAGTCCACTTCCCCAGATCTTCCTGGCCACATCTTATTGAATCCCTCACATGCAAGTCCTCACTGTGGCCTCTGTTTCTGGGACCCCAGACTTCTCCTCTGGGCTCCCCACTTAGGCTCTCACAGTCCCTGTGATGCTCACACAGCCCGGCTGGGACAGCTAGGGTCCCCACAGTGACACAGCCAGCATCACTACCTTCCATTTAGCCCCTCATGTTATTCTGCCCTGCTCCAGCTGTTGACCCTCAGTCTGTCCCATGTCCCCAGCTGCCCCCATTCCAGGACCTTTGGGGTTGCTGTGTCCTCTCCTCTTGAATCCGCAGAGGCTGGCTTTTCCTGTCCATCCTGAAGCTTCACTCCAGTGACACCCTCAAACTCCCAGGCAGATGCAGGCCTGGGGAGGCCATCATCCCTGGAGACCACACTCTGGAGCCTAGTAGGTCAGGCAGAAGCCACAGATCCAGAGATGCAGGACAGCAACTCAGTGGCAGGAGTCAGGCAACTTCAGGGCAGCTGGGGCATAAGGCAGCGCAGGGGGACAATGAGAGTCCGAACTGGAAAGCAGGGGTGCCAAAAGCCGGAGGGAGCAGAAGTGCTTCTTGTTGAGAAACAGGGAATTCTGGACAACGTTAATGATGTCCAAGTCACGGCCACTCCCAGGACAGCCAGATCACCCTGTAGGGCAGGATCAGAAAGAAGAACCACAGGACCGGCTCCAAGAGAAGAATAGGGAAGCAAAGAAGCAATGGGCTTGCCACCTGCACAGCTCTACAGGGTCACCCAGGGTCAACATAGTTCCTGTGTTGTGCCCTGGGTTCTGCGGACAAGACGGTGATATGGGTGCAGCTGCAGCCCGTCAGTGCCACCCAGCCCTGCCTGGAGGTCTGAGGCAGTCAGTTTCAGTTTTCATCTAGGAGACATAGAGCGCAGGGAGTGTCCAGGGCACAGGGAGTGTCCAGGACACAGGAGCCCAAGTCACCGCTCACTTCGTGGCCCTTTCCTTCTTCTGATGGTGTCATTGTGTATTCTCTACATGCATGTGATTGTTCACAAGCTTTTATGTGGATGCATCCTTGCCACAGTCCTGGGAGCAAATGTTGTTATTAATATTAGATTTTACAGGTGAGGAAACTGAGGTGAAGAAGTTAGAAAGCATGTCTAGGGCTGGAGGTGTAGCCCAGGGCTAGAGCACTTCAGTAGCATATGCAAGACCAAGGATTCCATATACCACAGGAAAATCATGTCCACAGCTACCCAGGCAATGTGGGACAAAGCCATGATGTGCACCCCAGCAGCCAGGCTCCACCATGCCCTGAACCACTGTTCCACGTGGCTCTGAAATGTACTATCACTTCCACCACTGAGCTCAGTGCAGAACTCAACCGGTTCCCTCCCATCAGCCTCTGGGGTTCCCAGGTTATGGCTGCACCTCTCCAGCCTCCCCAGCCCTCTGCTCACCCTCTCCTTTGCAGGAAGGACCATGCCTTTGCCTCTCACTCCCCTTACTCTCTCCTGTAGGCAAGGAGCTGGAGACATCTGGGAATCTGCTCCACAACATGCTTGGGACATCTATGCTGGGGCCTCCCAAGCCTCCTGCTGCTCCGGTGGCCCCAAGGCAGACATTTGGAGCTTCTTCACTGAATCCAGCAGAGAAGTCGCTGCACCATCGCTGACTGCCATCACGCTGTGATTAGTTAATCACTAAGTACATGGGGCTTTTAATTAACTGCCAGCCTTGTGCAGGCAGCTGTCGCACAGCCGCATCTGATCATGGCTCCTCAGTCCAGGCTGATGCAACATTTAGTCACACGCTGGATACTTAGCTGTTCTGATGCCGAGGGGATGGCAGCTGCCATGACTGCAGCCCTAAGGAAGCCACCAGCCACGGGAAGGAGACAGAAAACAGCTATCAGCCTCAGCCTTCAGGTATGTAAGAGGAAGAGGCTGGCGAGGTCTCCACAAAATCTGTAAGTGAAACGAGCATATGGAATAAAGAAACCCAAAATCACCATATAGCCAGACAGTGCAAGGTTTCAGGTATGGCTGGGTCCAGGAGCACAAATGAAATTACCAGAGAAGGTAGGGTTTAAGCCATAAGAAGAGCTGCATTTGCATCCCTGACAGATAAGCTGGACATAGGTAAAGATAAGATGGTGATGTTTTCACTCCTTAAAAGGGACCTTGCCTTCCTCTGGACCTCCAATAATTCTGGCCCATCTTCTAACACAGCCTTACCACTTTTTATTTTAACCATCTGGACGTGTGACTGCATTATCTAGTAGATCGGCACTGTGATCTCCCAGACTTGACAGTTCTGCATCATGAGGCTGTGTTGTGCATTACAGAATGTGTATTTACCTCCCTGTCTTCAACCATGAGGAAGAAGTGGCACTCACCATGGTGACAGCCAAGAATGTCTCCAGACTTTGATAAATGTCTGCAGGGTACACGAATCACCCCAACAATAGAGGTGGAGCCAGAGGAAACAGCTGGCCTGGGTTGAGGCCCGACTCTTGCTAGAATTACAGCAATGCTTCAAGTTCAAAAGCAAGAAGGAGGAAGTGACAGTGAGCCCAGCCCTGGAGGATGCAGGGAAAGCCAGTGGGCACAGGCTCCGTGCATCACACTGCGGGATGATGTCTACATCCGGTCACTATGTGTATGCCATGTGTTGCTACAGTAAAATACCAGACACAGCTAACTTATAAGAGAAGATGTTTCCTCCGCTTATGTATAGTTTTGGAGGTTCAGAGACCAAGATCAGGCGGCTTCATTTGTTTGGCCTTGCTAAGTGTGGCAGATGGTGATGCATCACAGCAGGAGCATGCATATAGCAAATGGTCACCTAGAGCCAGAGGAAGGACAGAGAGAGAGAGGAAGAAGGATCCCCTCAAAAGTACACTCCAACGACCTCTGCTAGGCCCATGTCTTAAAGAACCACAGCTTCTCCCAGTACTGCTTCCCTGGGGCAGAGCCTCTCCATACGAACTTCTTCTAGGGGACACTTGACATCTAAATCAAGCAAACCAAGCTCCTCTGGGTCACCAAAATCCCCGATTTGAGACTGGAGCTCAGTGGGTGCTATAAAGTTGAGCAGAGGCAGGGGACTCAGATCACAGAGAGCCTGGGGACACCAGTGTCCAGCCCAGTCTCCACCCTGCTGCTCCAGATCATTGCTTACCACAATAAACAATAAAGCTCAGGTCCCCGATCCACACTCATCCATTACACACCTGGCCCCTGCCAGAGGACAGAGGTGTCACAGCTCAGTGTGGTGAGGCCTTGAAACAAGGAATGATAAAACAGCTCTGTGAAGCGTGTCTTTCCTTGTTTCAAAGCAATTCTGGTCACTGCACTGAGCAATTGATCACCGAAGCATGCATCTCCTGTTTGACCAAAACTTGGGTCCTTTGATTGCCATCTCCTATTTCCCCATCCATCTTCCTCCCGAGACTCTGCTGACCACCACTCTGCTCTCTCCTACTACAGATTTGACCTCTGCGAAGCCCAGGTGTGATTGAGATCATGCGCAAGGTTGCCGCAGGCTCACCGTGCTGACTGTTTCCAGCCCCATCACTGGAAAGACAGCAGAAGCCTGGGACTCATTTAATTTTTGTTTTATTTTTCATTTGGTTTTCTGTTGACATATACTACACATCTGTGAGGCACACTGATGTTTTGATCCACGTATGCATTGGGTAATACTAACCCAGGTATTGAAGACATCCATCACCTCATACATTTACAATCTCTTTGTGGTGAGAATGTCCAAAATCCTCTCCCCTAGCTGCTTTTGAAGTATGCAGTGTGGTTCTGCCATCCCATTAACCCTACTGTGCAGCAGAGCACTGGGGCTTTTCCGCCCATCTACCTGTGACTTGGCTTCCCTCCCCCAACCTCTCTTCCCACCACAGCCTCTGGTAGCCACTGATCTCCTCTCCACTTCACGGCCTCAGCCTCTTCTCATCTCATGTGCCAGTGAGGTCAGGTAGGATTTGCTTTTCCATCATTTGCATTCTTGACCCTCCACAACGTGAGGCTATTGTTTCCCTTTCTCAGCCTCACGCTCCCCTCTGTGCAGCGAGAACAGGACCCACTGTCCTGAGAAGCAGGACCTCAGCAAGCAGCATCAGCTCTGCAGACTTTGGTTCCTGCGGCTATGGCCTCGGGTCTGCTGGTTCATGGAGAAAACAGATGACAGAACATGTGACAGCACCCAGTGTATGGCCCGGCAAGGAAGATGGTGCACTGGAGCCAAAGGCAGCTCTGAGGCCATGAGAGCCTGCCCCTTAGGGCCCGCACCCCCACATACCCTCCCTCTGCCCCTAGTGCTCATGTAATAGGATCCAAAGGCAGAGCTGTGACCCTGTGAGCATGGGCACCTAGGTGTCCCCTCGCCACCCCCACACATGACAATCCACGCACTGGGCTCTTCCAGGAGAAAGTCACAAATAGGCTTTCTGTGCAACAGATAGATGGTCAGCTGCCACCCACCATGTTCCATGCTGTCATCTTCCTTCCTGCAGCCCCCAGACCACCGCCCTGTCTAGTTGGGTAAGTTTACTTACAATTACCAGAATTGGGCTAGGACCCACTGATCTGCCTCATTGTGAGGCAGAGCTGTTTATCATGGCCAGGCCTAGGATGCCCCCAGCTGATCAAGTCACCAGACTCTGGGGTCAGCCACCCTCTGGGTGACAGAGAGTGGAGGGAACCGTCATCACCCTGGACAGCAGGAAAAGCCCTCCATGAGCCTAAGCCACCCCCAAAAGCTCCTCCAGGCTAATTTCTGCCTCCTGGCTCCATCTCAGATGCTGATAGCCCTAGAGGAGAAACTAGGGGTCCAGATGCCTGCTCCCCACCTCCTGCTCCAGCTTCTCGGGGCCATCCTCCTGTGAATGCCAATATGGCTCTTACTCTTGGTCACCCTAGGCCCAAGTGTTTGTCGGTGTTGTATTTCTCATCTACCATTTATTAAGCACCTACTGTGTGCCTGGCACAGTGTTAGATAAATTATCTAGATATTTCATTGCATGTTCACAGTTGCTAGAATTGGAAACTACTACTGGCTTCATGTTACAGGTGGCTAAGCCAAAAAAGCCTAAGCCACCTTCCCGGGGGTCACAACCGGTACATGGTAGATTCTTATGTCTTAATCATGATGTTATCCTGTGGCCTGAGTTCCTGCAACTTCTCAAAGCCCTGGGTCACCTCTTGAGCACCTCCTAATGCCCTCACCAGTGAACAAGGCTGATGTTAGTGCTTCTTGACAGAGGAGGAAGCAAAGGTCTTGGAGAACTGTCCTCCCTGCAGTCATATGGTATCCCTACAGGAGATAACACAAGAAAAGGAGTTGAGCAAGTTAACCCCTAACACCCAGGCTGCACTCTGCCCACTGCCCCACCCAAAGGTCTCCCCTTCCTGAAACGCATGAACAGATGCACAGGGAGCCTTCCACGGTTCCCACCCTACTGGCTCCCCGTCCTCCCAGGAGAAGAGCAAGAAGCACCAGGCTTCACTGGCAATAAGGTCTTCAGGGCAGTCAGCCCCAGTGTGCAGTGGGGAGAAATCTGAGACACTGAGCCTGGGAGGAGTGTGGACCAGGGCTCCGTCAGGTGTGAATCCAGCTGCACCACACAGCAGCCAGCCAGACAGTCTAGGGCCTGCGGGACTGCATGTCTTTGGACTTTCCACTCCACGTCCATAAAGAGAATACGAATGTCAGCTTTTTAGGAACAAAAGTGGGAGGGAAACTTGATCACTTTCTAATTTTTAGTGGTTAGAATTATTACCTAATTCAGAGGGTCAAAAACTTAAGTGGAGCTATACGGGAATGCACACCTGTAATCTGGGAATGCACACCTGTAATTGAAGCACTTGAGAAGGCTGAGGCAGGAGGACTGCAACCTCAAGCCAAGTTTGGGCAACTTAGAGAGACCTATATCAAAACAAATAATCTTAAAATGGGCTAGGAATATAGTCCAGTGCCAAGACTCCAGGTTCAGTCTCTAGTACAATAAAAAAGAAAAAACAAAAACAGTCCTGAGGGGACAAGGCATGAGGTGGTGTGGCTGGCCAGATGGGACTGTGGGAACAAGTGTCACACACCCTGAAGGGAACAAGTGCTATTGAGGCACTGTCATATCAGATCATTTTTCTATTAAAACAAATTAGAAATCTGAAGTCCTGTGTATGCGAAGTCCTTTGATTTTTATAATGTTTCACATTCTAAAATGCTTTTATTCACATGTTGAAAGAAATATACCAGCCTGCCAAATCCCACTTGCACCAGTTTGCATGCAAATCAAGCATTGTCCTCTTCACAGTTGAAGGGCAAAAGGAAAGAGCCCAAGTTCACCCAGCAAACAAATCAGACTCAGGTAGGCCCCATCTCTCTGCCCTCTGGCTGCTGGAGCTCCACGGCTAGGCTGCCACCTCTGGGAATTTCACATCACCCTAGGGCCATCCAGACCAAGACTTGCACCTCTGGGAAGCCAGCAGGCTCCTTGGGGCCCTGCAGAGTAAAGGAAGGACATTTCCAGGGCAAAGCCTACTGTGGAGCTCTGAATATGTAAATCATACTCCACTTGGGAGCACATCCATCCTGCTGCCTAACTGAGACATTTGTTTGGAAAGTGCTGGACAACTAGGGCAGATGTGGTGCTGTGAGAGTCAGTTCCTCCAGCCTTCAGTGCCCTGCTGTGATTCAGGTTAGTGTCTTGTGGCTAGAACTTGGACCAGCCTATAATCCCATTCTATGGGAGGCTGAGGCAGGAGGATCACAAATTCAAAGCCAGCCTGAGCATCTTAACGAGACCCTCTTTCAAATGAAAAAGGTTGGGGATATTTGTGCCTTCTAGGAAATGGATGGATGATAAATGATAGATAAGAAACATAATAGATAGATGATATAGATAGATAGATAGATAGATAGATAGATAGACAAGGGTATTAACATGCCAGAAAAATCAGACAAAATAAAACAGCTGTCCCATCTCTGCAGGACTATGCAGCACCAAAGCAGAAAACTTCTGTGGATTTCTGTCTAGGGGCCCCACTATGGTGAGCCAGGGTAAGAGATGTGATCAAGTCTTTTTTGCTATCAAAGCCTCCTTGCCCCCTGAGAGTGAGCCCTGTTTTTCAGAGTCCTCTTTCTCAGCACCCCACAGGGGAGGGGGTCAGGAGAACTGGTTCTCAGCAGACTTAAACCACCTGCTTCCCCCACTCCCTGCCTGAATGTCTCCTTCAGTTCCAGTTCCTGGCTATGGCAGGTTTGGAGGAGACAGGACTGTAAGTGGGCAGCTCTGGGACTAAGCAGGGCCACATACCTTTATGTCCAACTAGGTTCAATAAAAATCAGGATTTCTAGCTTCTCTTGAAAAAAGTCAGGAGATTCAGCCATGTTGAGCTTACCTTCCCACACAGCTACAAGTGACAACTGCCATCAAGTGGCAACTGTCGTCTTGGAAAAGACACGTGCACGTCACTACATTCTATGTTGTGTGCTCCCCGGCAGACCCACCAGCTTCCCCACACCAGGGGACCTGTCTCTCTCACACTTGAATTGGAGATCACTGATCTGCTGCAATGGACACAAAAGGGAAGGACAGAGTGTCCAGGCCTCCTGGGTATGGGCGCAGTTACCAAGGCCTCCACTATTTTGCTGTGACCTGGAGCAGAACTTTGGGGCTTTCTGGGATTTGGTCTCCTTTCCACCTATGAAATGAGGCCAGGTGCTTGGTGGCATCTCAGGGCATTTCCAACTCTGACACTGATCACCTCCATCATCTCCTCTTGCAGTTAAGACTCCTCTCCTCAGTTCTTGTCCTTGAGGTGAGCCAGGAGGAGCAAATTTGGGGATGGGCTAGCCAGGGGGAAGAACTGTGCATTGATTTTAATAAAGGATCGGACAAAATAAAATGGTCTTCTGTGGCCACATTTTGTATTTCTTCTTTTCACACTGCTGTTTCTAATATTTCAAAACCATAAGAAAATCATGTGGACCAATTGTCTTGCAATTTTGTTTCAGTAAAGACAATTGGAGGAGGGCGGACAGACTGCTCACCCATGCTAATCTGCTGTGGGGAACCTAGCGGGCTTGCGGGTCTGCTCATAGGAGCACACATTTGCTTACCCCCGAAGTTTATTTCCTCCTAGCCCTCAGCACAATCCCAATGCTTACAATCCAGGGCCTTCCAGAAACATCAAGCTCCCTGCTTCATTTAATACAAAAGTAAGGGACCGTTAAGAGGTGACTTAGTCATGGGAGCATGTCGTTCCACAAGGAGAGCTGTCACTTGGATTGACCCTGTTGTTGTGACCGTGGGTTAGTTATCAGGAGTGAGTCTGTTACAAGCTCAGACCCCACCTGCCCCTTCTCTCTGTCTCCTGTGTGCTCACTTGCCTTCCCACCAATTTAAGTCACATAGGAAGGTCCTTGCCAGAAGGAAGCCCTCATCCTTGGACTTCCCAGCCTGAAGCACCATAAGCAGGGTAGACTTCCATTGTTTAAAATTCACTCAGTCTGCATAGCCAGATAAAACAGTAGCAAATAGACCAAGACAGATTTCCAAATCAGTGAGGCACGCCTAAAACTTCAACCTCCAGCTCCAAACCACTTCTCCACTCACTGTCCAGGACCCCCTCCACACACATGTTAGACACACCAGGTTATTTTCTCCTCTCCGCACAGCTCCATGTCTTGACCTGGGCCCTTCGCTCCAGCTGGAGTGTGATGCCAAAGTCCTTAAGGTCTAGCTTAAGTACGAGTCTTCCCTGTACCAGCTAACCTGACTTTTCTGTGGCCTACTGAGCCTCACTGTGATTTCTGCTGTCACTTCTGCACTCTTACCATGTCCCTTGTACTCGTTACTGAATCACACAGAAGACTTTTCAGTTAACAAAACACAGAGCTCAAACTGAGTTAATCTCACAGCCTAAAAAACTCAGACCCTGGCTCTACACTGCAGTGAGCTACTTTGAGTGGAGTTCATCCTCAAGATAGCTTCCCTCCCTGATCAAGGCAGATGACCACCAGGCTTCATATCCAAATGCCCCAGGACTCACAGAGGAGAGGGTTCACCATGTGCCTGGCAAAGGTTCCACCATGAGCAGGCTCCTGCATCAATCATGCTGGAAGAGGAAGTTTTAAGCAGTTGGGGTTAAAACAAATTGCTGATTTGCTGTAGTGTTTATCACTCAAACTACAACAGAGGAGCAGTGGAAGGACATGGGGGAGACCCAACAGTGTCCACAAGGCTTCGAGGGTACTTCCCCACAGAAATACTGAGCTCCCCAATGGAATGGGCTGGCTTTCCTCAATATCTGCATCGTCTTCTTCAGGGGCCCATAACAATGCCTGGGATAAAATACACCTCCATATGCATTCCTCAGTTTCAGTTCCCCACTGCCCCATCAATGACCATCTAGGACCTCATTGGCCTGATCTCTTGTAAAATGACAGTAATGGCTGACAGCTGAAAGAGACAACTGATACCTTGAACTTTTAAAAATTGAGTTCTGGGAACCCAACTCCCAGCCCAGACCCTGGCAGGACCTGCAGCTGTACCTGCTGCTCTGTCCCAGACACGGGAGGAAGCGGAACCTGGGGTGAAGACCCTTGAGATGGCCCCTATGTATTATCTATGCCCCTGCTGCTAATACTTCATCAGTGCCTTCCTCCAGCTCCTGCTGAAAGGGGACAGGCCATGTGACTGCAGCTTACCTACCTCTGCCGCCCCTGCTATCACTGACAAGGTCAGGGTGGCAGCTGCCCCAAGGAAAACCAGATCTCGCCTGAAGGCACAGGTATCAGATTCTCTGGTTTTTAATTTGAATTTTAAAAACGCAAATCTTCATGGGTAGCCTGAAATGTCATTAAAACAGGAATGTGAGTAAAGTGATGCAAGAGAAGACCCAGTGACAGGGAACCGGAGAGTACATGAACTTCAGAATAAAAGGAGAGAGGCAGAACCATGGACAAGCAGAGACATGGAAGAGAAAGGGACACAGAGCCCCAGGCTAACAGTCTATCTCTGATTTTTGTCCCTCACGGGCTGGCTATATCCTTCATTCATGGGTTTTCAGATAATAGTACAACTTCCTAGTGGGCATCTTTGGGGTGCGCTTCCCAGCTCGGTCCAATTAGTATCAACACTTTCATTTCGTCCTGGGCAACTCCCTCTTTCTCAGCTGTTAGGCAAGACTACCCCCAAATCCCTACCCCCAAGTTATTCTCTTACTTAAACTAGTCTGGCTTGGTTCCTGGTCTCTGCATGGAAAAATGTTTTGACCAGCGCAGATTGCTACAGGGACTCATTCCGGCTTTAACTCATGCATTGACTCCCTTACTGGTTTTACCTACTCAGAGTCTCATTCCTGTTCACATTTACTTGCTACTTTTTATTATTTCGAAAACCGATGGTTAAACATCTGCTCCAGGCCGGACAGGTTCTGGACTTAACATGACAGCTGCTGTGGAGATGAAGCAAGTGGGCCCCAGTCCTCCTCACAGGTCTCATGATTACAGCCTGGAAGAGACCAGCTCAGTCTAAGATGCACATAAACACCAGTGGGTGTTATGTATTCCATAGAAAAGAGGGATTTGAAGATAAAACTTAGAAAATGTTTTGTGAAAAGAATGAGTCTTTAAAAGATAGTAGAACTTGAATTTTGGAAATCAGAAAGAAGAAAAAATAAAAGACTGATGTCAGTTTTAACAGAAACAGCCAACTGTGTAATGAAAGGCTGTCTCAGAATTAAGGGGCCAAGTCACTGGAAGAAAATTTCTACTACTGGAGAAATAGCTTATATCATAGTGTGATTCTGATGCATGAGGCAGACCCCACCCCAAAAGCCCACCAAGATTATTCCTGGGCCAGTTACCCAGATCCCCGTCCGTCTCTCCTTCCTGTTCAGGATTTACACTGGCTTTCATGTTCCTTCTATCACAGGTGTCTTTCGCTGTTCCAGCTAGAAAAGGTAATAATGCATTTCAGCTCAAGCGTACTGTATTTTGAGGAAACCAGTGTATTTTTGTCTCAAAGATGGTTTGTTTGCATAAATGTTCAGAGAAAAAGTAGATTTGCCTCTTTTCATGATCATAAGGAAGCTATGCAGAAAAATGTCTGACATAAACTTTCTTCGACTGCTAAGAAAGAAATTTTATATTAATGAATACTAGC